TCTCCAAAGGTGTCAACACCCCACCTGGACTTCTAATGGATATTGGGTCAATCCATAAGAGGCTATGGTCTGAATGCTTGACCACCGCAACAAGTAACATTTGGGCCTGTGAAGGCCACTTGGCTAGCAGCTGTAACTATTTTGCATACAGGTGTCTTTTTACTATCCTAGCCAATAGTGACACAGCTTTTCAAAAAAGTTTGTCTACTCTATCACCTCTAATTAGAGTTTTCCCTGCCAATTCAAGTGTGAGGCAGCCCGCCTCACTGATTTGGGCGATCGCCTTAGGCTTTTCTACAGAATTTTACCACCTCACACTTAAACTAGGCAAAGAAAAAGCAAGATACGGTAATGTGGATCTTCTGAAAAAAGATCAGTTTCAAATCAATCAGAATAGTAAAGAGGCACACAAAATACAAGATCAATTGATTTTAGAGGGGAAATTTGGGGTAAATGTAGAGTACTTTTAGACCATACAAAATTTATCTTCAGCCTTTTTGAAGGCACCTGCTTTTGTTTTGGGCACTAGAATTTTGGCAAAATTTGTTTGTCCACCTCACACACGACAGTACCTCAGGGGAAACCCTGCCTTTAATGCAGGAAAAACATTTCTTCCCACTGCCCTGTGAACAGACATTGCTTAAAATCACAGTACATGTTCTGTGCAGTAGGCACAGTTGAATTTGCAGCCAATCACACTTCACACCTGTCACGAGAGAAGCGCATGTCATACCATCCTGGCACACAACTACAGCCTTTTAAAAGATATAGGGGACTACATTGTACGGGTACATGTACCTGCCTTTTGTACAGGGCTTTCAGATACAAAGTCTGAACGAAGTCTGAAGGCCTCTATGTAGACAAATCTACTGACCAGAATTAGAAGACATTACATATACTGCCATTTGCAACACACTCGCACACAGGTGGTCTCAGGAGCAATAAGTTAAATGATTCTTTGACCAATAGGATGTTGGATATACATGTGATTAGTCAATAGACCACTCTCATTTTGCCGACAGCTTGTATGACCGGCCAAACTTTGCAGAAATATCATCTGTCGGTTGATTTTTGATTCAAAATGGACACTTGTCTCATTGATTTTGAGGTAGTATTTTCATTTAGTGTTTAGTAGCACATGCAGGGTTCTCGCCGCAGTGGGCGGCACCACCCGGTACTGCAAATTTCCGCCCGGCACTCAGGTTTGAAATTGGCTGTGCCATCCAGCACGGATTTTCCAAAAACATGAACTGAAATATTACTGAAAATTTAAATGTACCAATTGGATCGTATTTCAAGCAACAGAAAGCATTAAGAACTGTGCTCACTATGCTTTGTAATCCAAAAATTTACCCAGCACTAAAATGGTCCTAGCTAGAACACTGAGCACTTGTATTATAACCTGGTGCTCTGAAAGCTGCGTGAGATTTCAACATTTTGTGAAATTGTTCTTTTACTTTTGTATGGATGGTCAATGATAGATTTAGCAGCACTTGTAGGAAAACACGATTGTGACGTCAAAGGAGCAGACCCTATCAATCGAGAGCTGTCATATTATAAAGTGACTGA